GGAATAGGAAGTTGTTCTATAATCTATAAATGTTGAAATCATGAGATTTTTTTCAGATTGAAGAAAAGATAGTATTTGTATTTTAATTACTAATAAAAAGTTTTTTGTTAATAAATAGGATTCTTGTATATTTTGATTTGTGAAAATTTTTTTCATTCCTTCTGTTTTACTTTCACTATGCCATATTGGAATTTTATATACAGTAGTCACTGTTTGTTGTAATCACTTTGGGACTTGCCTATGCCTATAACAAATTAATATTTATAAATAAGTTATAATATCTTGTTGTAAAAGCAATTAGAATACATCAGCAAAAATTCTAGTTTTATTGAATCAGATACAGTAAACTTCTCTAACTCAAATGTCTGTAACTCAAATATTTCTTGAACTGAAAGAAAATGAAGCACTTGGTAGGTCTCAATAGAATAGCATAGGAATTTAATGTCTCAGCTTGAATTTCTTAAATCAAATTTTTTCCAAGTCGGAGTTTTTCACAGTCCCCAGACACTGATTTATGTTACTTTCAACTTCCCTGGCTCAAATTTTAATATCTATTTTATCCAAAGTGATCTTAATTATTGGATTTCTGTGAAATTTTCAAATGGTATTTACTCTACAACTTTCAGACAATGTAGATGTACAGTACCTGCAAAACTGTTCAGTTCCATTAGTTACATTGAACATTTTGCTGAAAGTCATTATGCAGGGTAAAAAAAAACTATTGAAGATTATATAATGCAAGAGAGGTAAAGATACAAATATTCAGAATTGGCATTTTTTACTCTATTTTTCTTTAGATAACTCTGAAGTTTTTTCCTGCCCCTTGGAGCTTTGAGTTAGAGAAGTTTTACTATAATTTAAAACTGTTAAAACATGTTAAAATAAATTTAATAGTTACCATATTTTTATGGCATATAAGATACAACTTTAGTCTCAAAAAAATATGTATGCATCTTATATGTGAAGTTGCAGTAGTCTAATAAATTTCCCAAACTGCCTTCATATGCTACAGTACATCTGTTTAGCTCAATAAAGAGTTATTGTTTAATAAAACTTTATTTTTATTATTAGTAGATGTTTCTGTTGAATTTTAATGATTTTTATTAAAAAGGGGGGATTATGAGATGGAACAAATGTTAATTATAAATGACTTCTTTTGAACTCCTCTCGTAACTCCCTGATAAGTGAAAATGTGCATTCTAATTTTACTTTTTTTAATCAAAATACAGCAAAAAATTTTGGGGCTGAATGCAGAAGGTGCAATATGGCTTGAATACACTAAAAACCAGTACTACTATTCCTAAATATTCTGAGCTGAAATATGGGTGTATCTTATATAATAAGGTAACTTAAAAAGCTTATTAATTTTTGATACACTAGTATCTAACAGGTGCATTTTTTGTTTTTGGTTTCTTTTCAATGAACATTACTAAATCTAAGTTAGTTTAGTTTTGCTATCTTTTCTAGTTCAGTTCCTCTTGCAAATTATATTTTTGTTTTTTTCTCTGCTGATGTTTTAATTTTTTTTTTTTTTTTAAATCTTGTACAGAACTGGCTATGAAATTTTTCTCTACAACAGCATAGGTACAGTACAAAACATGTCCAAATGTGCAAATTAAGTTTAGGAGAAATTAAAACAATTTCAGAGAAATTTGTCATAGAAAACTATGGCATGGCAATAACTGCAAAAATGTTTTCAAAAAATTAGTAACCTGGAGTAGTATCTTGACTGGGCCTATAGACATTAATTGGGCAAATTTACCAAAATGCAGGGAGAGGCTGTTTTAAAAGTGAAATTTGAATGTTCACTATTTAAGTGACTTGTTTAAAAAAAATTAAGCATTTACAGATAATATGAATGTGAGAGGCAAGTGAGGGATGAATTAGTCTGGCTTACCAAATCATGTTTGAATGTTTTTGAAATACCAAAACTGAGAAAAATTGATTTTCTTTTTCAGTTTTTTTTTTTTTGTGTGAACTTAAAAAAGAAAATCCATTTTTATTTTGAAATATCTTCAACGCTATTCAATGGATGAAATTTTAATATTTTTGTAATAAATTTTTTAAAATTTTATCAGCTTGAATTAAACTGAAATGTTTGTTTCTTGTGTGAAAAATTTGAAAATTAATGAAGTGCACTTAAAAACTTTCTGAATTGCCTTGATTAAATACCTAAACAGAAGTTTATTATTTTATATACATACATTTTCTTAGAGAAATTTTAATATTGTTTTAAAATTTGTTGTAAAATTAAAAAAAGAAAAGTAATGAAAAGGCTGTCAAAAATCAAATTTGTTACCTTTTTGAAAAAATTAGATCCTTTCTTAAATAATTTTTCAGAAAAAGTTACTTGACCATTGTTGCCATATATTTTGTTTTTAGATTTTAAAAAACTCATTAATCTGTATCCCGAGCTAAAAATAAGTTATCCATTTTTGGGATTGGTGATGATGCCTTAATGGTATCCATTTTATTTCCATTAATCAATGTATTATATCAAGTTTATAATTGAATGTTTATATATTACTCTATGATGATGTGCTTAAATTAAAGCATTTTTCTGAGTTAAAAATTTTTAATTTATTAGTTTATTATTGTGCAGTAAATTGTGTAAGCTATTTTGTCACTTGTATGATTTAATTAAAGTATTTCAAACTATGTAGTAATTATTACTAATTGATTCATAAAATGTTTTATTTTGTCTACTTGTATACAATAGTTTTGAGGAAATAAGTAACAACAACTAGGAATTGAAATTTAAATCACGATACTGAACAAAGTATTGAGGATAGGATTAAAACGAATATTTAATGTGTTAAGAGTAAACATCTTATGCAATTGGATGATTTTAATTGATTCTGACCATTTTTATTAGAATGACATGGTAGAATTGTTATTGACTAGTATATGTTTTAAGAGTTATTGATTATGATGATGATAATAATAATAATAACTCTCCCATGGTCACCACCTGGTTGTGGTGGGAGAGCCCAGTAATTTTACTGATCTATAGGGCAATGCAGGCTGGAGCACAAGCTCCTGGTAGGGACACCCATGCCAGTAAGGTCTAAGGGGAGAAATGAAGCTGTGTGTGACCACACCACATTCTATGGAGATATTTATCATGGTAGTAACCAGATCAAAGTGTGATACCGGCTCGGACGTTGCCCAGGTTAACAAGATCCACGTTCATGGGTTAGGCAGAGGCTCACGTTCGAAAAATAGGCCACAGTCTCCCTTGGTATCCTTGGTATTGGCGGTGGCGAAAGCAGTGCTGGCCCAAGCATGGCTACTGCAGGCCCCTCAACAGATGTGAGGAATCAACCTAGCCTTGGTGTTTCTGTGGCAATGCATCCACAGATCACAAAGACTGGAAAACCGTGCCAACGGATGAAATGGACAATAGAAATGAACAAGTTTATCATCCGTACTTACTACACCATCACAAGACTCGAAACAAACATGACAGCATACAGACAACATCTACACCATAGATTCACACAACAATATCCTCACCTCACTGTCACCGAACAAAGAACTGTTGATCAAAAAAGAACAATTATACACAACAACCTTATCCCACAAACAACACTTGAACTTATCAAACAGCAGGTTCCTGATCAAATACATCAACAGACAGAAACATTTAACATTATTAATGAAGATCACGTAACCTGTCAGGATAGTGCAGCAACAAGAATTGATAATAGCACACATACAACTACCACTAATGATACTACAGGCACTTCCTCATCCATCACTAATAACATAGACTTAGAATTAGTTAATACACTCTCACTTATATTTCAGGAAACACTCACTAGATTTTGAAATAAAAAGAGATTTTCTTCCTTTTTTTAAAAGGTCTGAGATCTGTTTAACTTTTTTATACATACCAAAACTTCAGATTGTTGTTCAAAACTATTTCATCTTTCAAAAAATATCCCATATTGTGTCTGCTGATGGGCAAATGATTTGGTGGTACTTGTTACCTTTGCTAAAAGAAGTATTAAAGAAGCTTAATTAGCAATGTATGCAATAATGAAAACAAAATGAGCTGTTATACAAAATGCTAGCTAATAATATCAAATACTTGTTTTAAAAAAAAATCTGATAATTGGTCAATCACTGTCTGTGTATACGTTTTAAATTTTTGTAAAATTTATAAATTATAGCTTTGGTGATACATATATATTTTTAAAAAATAAGTTTATTCAATTAAATTATTAATTATTATTATTAATTATTCAATTAAATTAAAGTTTTATTGAGCTTTTAAAATAGTATTGGGTGAGAGCAAGAAAATAGTTATTCTGTGGATATAGTTTTTATATTTAGAGCAAAAGCAAAGAAATCAGAATACAAATTTGTTGTTTTCAAAAAATAAAATTGATATTACTACATATTTTAATGTAATATTAAGTATATCAAATATAGTATAAAAAGCTTTTAAATATATACTTAACATTCAAGTCTATAGTACAATAGAACTACAGAACAAATTATTTAATCAATAAATATGCATGTATATATATACTATATATTTATTTATTAAATAATTTGTTCTGTAGTTCTATTTGGTTTTTTATTCATATATAACTTCAGTAATCCAAACAATCTCAAGTAATAGTTACTTTGAATTAGTGTGTACTATCATAGCAATTATATTTTCTATCTAGTAAATTTAGTAAATTCTGCTTAGAAGATAATGTATTTATTTTGTATAACTTTGCAATTTTCATTAAAAAATATTAGTTTTGTCTTAGTGTGTAACACAAAAAATTGTAAATTATCTTTGATGCTCTGTATATACATACATGTAAATGATTTTGAATGCTATTCTTCATATTACATCCATTTTATAACAATATCAATTAAAGATTTTATGAATGGGCATTTAAAAATTCTTAATTTCAAAATTAATGCTGATTTTTTTCCCATCATACATTAATCTAAAGTTCTTATTTAAGTTTTCTAAACAATTGCTTATTTTGATTCAGACCTGAAGAATTAAGAAGTCTTTTTGCTAAATATGGTCCCATAACTGATGTCTACATACCTTTGGATTACTACACCCGTAGAACCAGGGGTTTTGCTTATATTCAATATCCTTTAGCAAAATTGAACCATCCAAATGCATATTTTTATTATTATTAGAAAGTCAATGTTAAAAATCTTAACCCATGGTGAAGAATTTAATTAGAATTTAATTAATAACTTAACAAAAGCATATATCTAATAAAATTTTTAGTTATAAGTTTTCAAAAACTGTTAAAAAAGTTAAGAAACTAGGTTTATCTGAATTTATAAAATATAAATAGTTTAAATTTTATGCAAAAAACTACAAATGTCTCCTTTCTGCACCTTGCTCTATCACTGTACCATTTATCGTAACATTTTTATCAGTCGTGTTTAAATTTCATTTTGATTAACCTATATTAACAATTTATCTTTAATTATTCTGTTAGAATTGACATCCAAGAAAGTAACAAGTATGTCAAGTAACTAAAGGCAAAATGGGTTTAAAACAAAGATTCAAGTCGTTGGAGAAAGAAACAAGGGTTCAAGCAAGAGCTGAATCCCATGTACAAAGACACCAGTCAAGTACAGCTAATTTCATTTAAGTTTGCATGGCAAGGGTTTATGTCTTCCAAAGCATGTAAAGTTTCAAGCCATGGCAACAGAAATACAAAAGAGAATTGAAAAAGTCATTCATTTTGAAACACAAGCAAGGGCTTCATTGGATGAAAAAAAGGTCAAGTGTTTCAGGTATTGTACAGCTATGTGCACAGAACATGCAAAACATATCCATTTATTCAGGAAAACTCATATGCTTTTCATGTACACTCTAATTTTAATTTATTGGTGATGGAGTTTGTGGATTTTGGAAGAGAATTTTGTGTGGCTAGGTCTTACATTTTAAAATTAAGTTTAATCTGGAATCATATTTGGATTTAGTAATTAAAACATTACATGCTAAATGATACAGCAAATTTCATATTAAAAATTAATTTATAACAAATATTTTGAAAAATTTTATATTTCATTTATACCAATAATTCCTAAACGTTTTGTGCTAGCATCTCTCTTGTGAAAAATTTTTCATTCCATATCTTGTAACATAATCTAAATTATTATTTTCTGTAGTAAGTGTTATACTTGTTTAACTTTAAAAATTTATGTTTCATAATATAATGGAAATAAAAGGAATGAACACGTGGAGTAAAAATAATTATTCATATGACAGATAGGACAGGTAGTTTCTTGGTATGAAGTTATTAAAATGTGATGTCATTAATGATATTGTCATTCATTTCATTCTCAGTTAGCTGAATTTGAAATTGATATTTTGTCTTTAACAACTACAGGAAAAGTCTTGCTTCACAGAAAGATGATATTGAAAATGTTAAAGAATTTAAAATGTAATTCATATTTGCAATTATTAAAACTGTTGCACATATCTGATTTCAGAATTCACATCAGACAGATTTCAACAGATAAACAGATTTATTATATTTATTGAATGCTTTTATTAATATGAACTGTCAGAAAATTAGATAAATTTTGAACAATTATATTAGGTTGCATTTTGAACAATTATATTGCAGAATCTTAAATTTTGATTCTGTTAAATTATAATAAACTTTAAAATCAAATTTTATTGTTAAATACATCTATTTTATTATATACTGGCTGTTACCCGTGGCTTCGCTCGTGCGGATTTTGCAAGCAAACCCATTTATATTCAGTATTTCAACAACCATAGTAATTGTTATTTAACACCTACTGCTGAGAATGATGAGAATTGCTGAGAATCAAACAAACTGTTTTTAATTTGATAAATTTTCTGGAACATTTACAATCGTTCTATAATTGAACCAATATGCAAAAAGAAATTTGAATTTAAAACGGTTTGAACATTTGGTTAAAATATCAAAATATATAAAAAATATTTATAACAATGTCTGAAATGTTATTAATTTATACCCCTAAGTACTCAATGAAGACTAAACGTAATTAAAAACAAAAAAATCACATCTAAAATAGTACAGTAGAAGCCTTTCTTCAGGTTAAGCCTTAATGCTTTCCCTCTCCCCCTGTGGGAAAATTTTGAAAAATCCCTTCTTAGTGTGCATTTTCATGACATACCCTTTGTACCAAATTTCACCTCTAGGTGAAATTTGGTACAAAGGGTATGTCATGAAAATGCTATTTTCATGGGGTATTTCCAGAAAAAACTGGACCATTCTCATTGAAGCGTCACACATTTTCGAAGTCAACCACTTTCAAACCACATATCTCTCTCACCCCTATAGCTATTGAGACACAACCACCATAGTGCATGATGGGAGACTTGGGCTACTACCACATACAAACACCATTCATGTGCGATGTATAGTTTTTGCTGCAGAGTGACGTATAGGCACAAACACATCCATTTATATGTACAATGGTACCTCAAGATATGAACACCTCAGCATACGAAATTTTCAGTATATGACATGAAATTCAAACATTTTTTTTGCTCCATGATACAAACAAAACTCACCATATGACGTTACATTAGTTCGCAGCACTATTTTTTATTCACTTCTGTTCATCGGTCTCAGTCCGCGTGTTTGCTTTGTCGTGGAAGGATCTTGCTTGATAAAGGAAATCTCGAGGTATTATCAGAAAGTGACTGATTTTATTGAAAAGAAACATCCCAAAAAGGTTCACACTGGGTGTATTGCTGCTCAGAGTAATGACATTTGCCTAAGTCATTTTAGAAACATTTTAAAAAGTAGGCAAAGCCAAACCTCTGTGGATAGATATTTTACCAAGCGACCTCTATCCAGTGAAAGTTCTGGTGGAAGTGAAGGAAAGAAAGCAAAAAGCAGTGAATAAAAATTTAAATATATATATTTAAAACAACACTAATTTTTTAAATCTTTTCTAAGTTACTTTTAAGTTATTGTTACATTATGTTATGTAAGTTAAGTTTTAGTATCGTTTCCCTTTCCCTCTCTTCCACCACCAATTTACACCTCACTGTCATCTATCCTCAAAGGTAAAGTGCAAATAAAACTACATTTTTTTAAAAATCAATTATTATTCTATTATGTTTATTTATGCATTTACAACTACAAAATGCATTTTTCAGTGTTTTCCTTACTATAGTTTTTTTAATGTACTATTTAGCTTTAATTTGAGTGTTTTTTTTTTTTTTTTTTGTGTTGGAACAAATTATTTGGTTTTACATGTAATAGTATGGGGGGAAAATGATTCACCTTACGACATTTTTATGATACGATCTCAGTTTTGGAACGGATTAATTTCGTATCCTGAGGTACCACTGTGTCTATATATATATATAGTAAGACCCCACTTAATGTGGGGGATGCTTTTCTAGACAACAAAGCACTAAGCGAACAGTGTTAAATGAGGTCATTTTAACATAGAATAAATAGGGATAGGGAAACACATGACCAAATATAAACAAATTTTACTTTAATTTTAAGTTATTTTTATATTAATTTGTATAATAATATTGATATGTGTTAAATAACACAAACATGTGCACACAGAAATATAAAGTTCATTTTTTGTGATGAAGGTCCTGACTTTTCTGAAATTCTTTTTCTTTTGCAATAAAGTTGTGAAGTTTCATTTGTCACTTTTTTCTTTCCTTAAGCAAATGTCAGTAGCAGAAGATTTTATCCAAAATGCCTTATTTTGCTTTTGCACTCCTTTCAAACTCTGGATCATTTGCTACAATTTGATCAATGATTTCGGTTATCTTACCAAACTTTCACTAAGGAAATCTATAGAGAAAGTTTTTGGGTTCTTTGTTTTCAGAATCTCTATTTTCCAGTTCCACATGAATTCCATGTTCTGCCAGTTCTTGAAGGTCATCATTGGTAAGGCTCTCACCAGAAACCTGTATTAACTCCTTAATATCCTGCTCGTCTATATCTCCTAGTCCTGCTTTATCGATTAGGTTGAGTTTGGTCAACGTAACGATACAACGATGGGCTCTTCTCGTTGAGAATTCATGGATACCTTCAGCCATAACTTCTTCCACACTTCATTTGTGTGTTTATCAGTTAATTCTTGCCAAGCGAAATTGATATTTACTATGGCATCCATGATGATATATTTTTTCCAAAATTGCACCAAACATAGATTTAAAGAAAGTACACTTTTTTGCCACCTATTGCTGATTGGTTTGTGTTTGCAAATAATCGTATTATATAAGAAGCGATGAAATGCCGTGATAATTTAAATCTGCGTAAATTTTGAGCTTTTTTTAGACTTCGAATAGACCGCATTATATTGAATCAGTGTTAAGCGGAGTCTTACTGTGTTTTTTTTCCTTTCTGGTAATTTTTCTATAAATTTTATTTTCTACTTTTTAAATTTTTTTAAATTGCATTCATTATATATTTGAATTTTTATTGACTGTCAGTGTCTTTTAGAACCTGTTCATTGTGTTTTAAAACTAATATTATCTTAAAATGTGAAAATTTGCATTTTGATAAATTTTAAAGATTATATAAAGGAAAAATGATAATTATATCTAAGTAACAACATAGCTTTATTTTTATAAAATATTCAAAAATAAAATATATACCATTATACATAAAAAGAAAAAAGTAAGTAAATACTTAAAAAATTTTATTACAATAAATAATTATGAAATTTGCTGTATCCATTTTCATCATTTAAAAAATTCTTGATGGCATTACTTCATACAAGTATTTTTGGTTGTTGTTTTCAAATGATGATAATGTTTAAAGTAATATCAAAATTCACTTTAAAAGAATTACTCTATTTCTAATGCTTTTGACAAAATTGTTTATCCTAGTCAGTGTTTTAAGAATTTACTTAAATTATTAAATTAATATTTATTATAATAATTTATATTTATTTAGTAATTTTTGTATGTAATTTATTTTAATTACAACTTCTGAAATTTTGAATTTTCATTTTAAAATTGAGCAGTTTTTGGAATGTATTTTTTTTTTGTCAACTAAATCATTTAATTATATGGATAATTTTGATTTAATTATATGGATAGTTGATTATTCAAATAATCAACTATTCAAATAATGAACTATATACTTAAATGGTTATAAATATTACTTTACTTTTGGATTTTAAATATACACAAAATTTAATTAAAATGTTCAATTTTATATTACATTAACTGAATAACTAGAATTAAAAAACAATTCAATATTAAGAAAAATTAAGCCTTTGTGTGATTTGCATAAATGATGCTATAAAAAATATTTATGAAAAATATATTTTTTAATTATCTATTTATATTCTATTTATTCAAATATTTACAAATTCAATGCTAGAAATATAGCAATATCACAAATACGTTAATTATATTTTTCATTGGTTGATACATGTTTTTGCCAAAAATTAGAAATAAAGTAATTATGTGAATTTTTCTCATTGGGACTTTAATATTCATGATTTGATTAATATAGTAAAACATTAGTTTTACTAATTTATATTATGTCACAAAGCAGAATTGATGTTCAAACATAGATTTTGTGGATATTATTTATATTTAAATTTTGGTCTCTTTTCTGCTAGATATCTGTGCCATATGAAATGAAATGGTTTCACAATTACTTCAAGTTTAAAAAACAAGAATAGTTTTTTATTATAACACAATGAAGATGCTAGTTAGTTTCAAGTTTGTGGAAATAAATTCTGAGTTTAGAAATTTTCCCAATTCTTTCATTTACATTAGGATAATGAGTTTCTTCAATATAACAATTTTGAGATTATGATAGAATTCAATAAAATATTTATTAGTTTATTCTTTGCACTTTGAAGTATTTAAGAATTTTTCAAGAAAAGAAAATTAAATTTGATTATTAAGTAAATCATCTGTTTGCATCTATTTGTTTGTTCAGCTAAGTAAGCTAACTAAGCTTACTAAAAATCTGATGTCATCAGTGATTACTGAATAATGTAACTTTTGTATTCATGTTTCTTTGACAATATTTGATCTTAGCTTCTGTGTCTACTTTTTCTAAACTGTTAATCTTAGAAAAATGAGCTGTTGCTATTTATTTTAAATTTCAGAAATGTTTAAAAAGTCAATAGATGATGATGATGCTATGAAAAAAATTCATGCATGTTTCAATTTCCAGTCCCTGTTTAAAATAGAAAAATACTGAATTGCATAGTACAATAGTTTGATTTAACATTTCTTGTTGTATTAATGAAATTTATCAGCTTGATGCTTTTTCCTATAAATATTATGAATCATACCATTTTCAATTACAAATCTTGTTTCATTCCATTATAATGAAACAACTGATAGTCATTTGATGATCCTAGGATGGTTGCATATATTTTGTATATAGGAACTTATACTCCAGTATGTTAAATTTAGACAAAATAATATAATTTAATTTTTATCAGTTAGTTGAGAAGAAGCTATTAGTTACTTTGAAAACCAAAGAATTTTATTTTTAATACTCACAAATAATTTGTCAAGAAATTAGAGAAATTGCTAACATTTTGTATGAAGGCATTTAGAATTTCTATTTTATAAGCAATAACTCAGATTGTAAAATATAATTGTAGTAATTCAAACAATATTATTATGAAATTCAGTTACTAGTGGTCAAATTCTGATTCAGAATTTAAAAATTTTATAGCACTTCAGATAACATTCAAGACATTTGTATTTTATTATATTATTGCACTAGAATGATCATTTTGTTAAGATACATTTTTTGTAATACAGCAAAAAAGAATTCAGCAACTAACACATTGGATTATTTAGAACATCTTTAATGTTTGATAAAAACTCTGTAGAAATTTCAATATGTTAAAATTATTGACAATATTCAGATAACTGAAACATTAGTGCAAACTAGTATTACATTTTTAGATTTGTTTTTGCTAAACTGATAAAAAAAAATATTGATTGAAATATAACAACAAAAGTTCTTAAAGCATTTTTAATGTCTAATGCAAGGAAAGAGAGAACTTTCTAAATTTGACTTACTTTTATCTTAACAATGTTAAAAAATATACAAATCAATGAAATTTCAGATACTGTGCTATATATTATTAAACACATTCCATAATAATAGTTTTTATTGATTAGGTTATATTATTTCTAAGTTTTAATTGCAATACAATTTCTATGATTAACATATTTTATTGCATATACAGATAACATTCTTAAAGTAACTAATGAATTTAAAATTATTTGATATATAGTACATAAAGTTACATTTACAGTATACAAAAAAAAGTTTTTGTTTGCTTATAAATTAGGCCAGTTTATAAGCTAACTTACTTTAATATGTGTGAATGAGTTAGTTCATATTAAAAAAATATTAAATACATAATTTGAATAAATTATACAGAATTATGTAATAATGAGAAAGATTTTGAACAATTTACTAAAAAGAGTATTATATCATTTTTTTGCTTTATTCTAGGATAAATTGTTAAATTTTGAAATTATTTTAAAAGTCTTTGTTTGGATGTCTTTATTTTAGAAGGTTTACTTAATTTACTTTTTCAATGTTAACGATAAACTAAATAAAGTAAATGAAAATTTTTAACTTTTTTATACCATTCAATATTTACAATTATTATGCATAAAAATAATCCTTAACATCAGAATACATTTGAAGATGTTAGAGATGCAGAAGATGCGATATATGCATTAGATCGCACACGTTTTTTTGGCAGAGAATTGGAGATTGAATTTGCTCAAGGTGATCGTAAAAGTAAGTGGAATCTTTGTTCATATGATAATTTGTTTTTTGAACTGTTTAATCTCACCTAAGGAAAAAACCTGATAAAATCACAATCTCTTGATATATTTACTTATATGTTTTCAGTCAAAAACATAAATGTATTTGTCAGTCAGTAAAATATATTTTTGTTTTATTCTTTGATTTTAGCCAGAAAGTAAGTTTTATTTCTAAAAGAAAAGAAAAAATTTTTAATTATTTTTTTTATTAGATTGTGGAAAAGTTAAATAACTATATATGCATATAAACATTAATTTTTATATTAGGTTTTTTTCTTAGGAGAGTGTACATGTGCTTCTAAATTTAAATTTATATATAATTTCAACATTTTTAATGTTTCTGGAATATTTGGAAATTAAATATTTACATCCTAGATTTGTTATTCGCACAACTGTGAATGCAATAAAATTTATTTATATTCTCAATTCCATCCATTTCTAATCTGACCATGATAAAACACTTGAAAATTTACAATATAATAATAATATATTATTGAAATAAATTTTGAAGATTGTTCTATAAGAGATTAATACAATAGACTTATTTTATAATCTCCAATTTAGTGACACACCAAGGTATAAAGACCAATTTAGAGCTCTTAGGATGGTGACTTATCCTAAGAACTCTTTTAGGATAACTTTACAAATTATAGTATGTAGATAGCAATACAGTTGAGTGGTCTTATCATAAATTATAATTTTAATGAATGAGTATATACATTACAATATATAAATATGAAAACAAATGTTTCTTCCATTTTGATAATAATAAAATAGCAAATATAATACACCAAAAGCTTGCGAACAAACACAAATTATTAGACATCCACGAACCATACTGCAAATATATCCCACAGACAATACTTGAAAACAACACGCACAAAATGTACAACAACAACAGCCATAATCATTGATAAAATAATTTACCACAACAAACCAGACATTACACTTGTTGACAAACAATAAAATCGCATACGTTATAGACATATCCGTTCCAAATATTCACAATGTACAAAACACGTGCACTGGAAAAAATCATCAAATACACAGAACTTGCCCAGGAAATAAGGCATCTGTGAAGGATGGATAGTGTTTATTGTTCTTTCCTCTACAAATATCATATTGCACACACTACATAAAAGCCTGGAAATATTACAATTGAATAGAAATACATACATCACACTACAGAGGCCACTGTATTGAATACATGCCATATTGTTAGGAAATTCCTGAATACAGACACTGACATGCTTATTTAATTTCAGTTTTTGGTTGACTCTGGTCCGGCATAGTACACAGCCACTGGTATCAACTGAATATAACCCACTAAATATTGTATAATAATAATAACCTTGCCCAGTATGTCTACTAGTGGCTGGAGTAATATTTCCTTCCACCAATGGTGGAAGGAAATATTATTCCAGCCACCACAAGTTAAGGAAAATGATTCGGCCAAGATACTATGGGGAAATGCCTGTCCAAACTGATGTCACTGTATCTCACAATAGACCAGATTTAATTTATGTTGATAAAAATCGTAATAAAACATTTTTAATAGATATAACTGTACCATCAGATTATAACATTGGTGCTAAAGAAATGGAAAAATTGAGTAAATATCATTTTTTGAAATTGGAAGTTAACTGCCTATGGAATACACAGATGACTGTTGTTCCAATAGTAATAGGAGCAACAGGAATAGTGGTGAAAAACATAAAGAAATACATGTCTCACTTTGTTATATTTGGTCATCAATGCTTCTTTTGTTACAAACTTTTAAATGCATTATACGTTATATTTTATATGAATTTAACTAGATATTTTCATAATTAAGCTCCCTCTGAAATGAGAAATAAAGAAAGAGGTCCTCGTCGACCACGCTCGCCATATTATGGAAGTAGATATGATGATTATAGAAGTAGCCGCAGGCGTTCTCGAAGCAGATCTCCCTATTACAGAGATAGGAGCCCAGGTTATAGTCGGTAAGTATTTTAATTAAATTGTTACTTCCTTGTTAAATAAAATAATTGATACTATGCTTTATTGATTATTTCACAGTAATCATTATCTTTCCCTGATTACAAAAATTTATGTAAAAACTATGCTATATATCAGGGGTGGCCAACTTTTGTGTGCATAAGATTACTTTTTATCTTAAAAATGTGTTATGATAGACTTGTTATCATAGGTATAGTCTAAGTTGCGAGGGGAGGTGTGAAATACATACTATGTTTAGATAGATAAGAAAAGCCACAGTTTAATTTAAAACATGAATAAAAGGTACATTTTAAACAGAAGAAAAATTGAAACTCAACATTGTCACTTTCGGGGACCACTACTCACCCTTCCTCTCTCTACTGTGTCCCGATGTACTCTCTCTGTCCCTCTTCCCGCCTTTTTTCAGTTTTATGATCCTTTGTCTACATTTCTTATTCTCCTTTTACAACTGTATGCAAATGAATTGCACATGGACCAACAAAACTGCATCTAAGGGAGGACACGGAGGTCCGATATCATTACAGTTGCGTTTGGTTACAAGTGTAACACATTAAGTCAAGACATCGCAAGCAATCAACCAAAATTGGCTTTGCAATTGACATGTTTGCCACCCCTGCTATATATAATTATGATGATTGTGGCATAATTTAGGCTGATTCCTAGAACTTTTTGTTATGTTGTTGCCTAGACCAAACTGTTTGCTCACACTACCCAATATACTTGTGATGGTTCCATGACCCAAACCAGGCAAACTGGAGTCACTATATTATATAATGAAATAAAATTAAGCATTATTGATAACTCCTATCTGTGAACTGTAATGTTGAGTATATTTCTATTGAGAACAGTTCAGGTCAGTTTCAGTCTGTAACAAATATCTAACTTCAATTTCAGTATTTATTATTGAAATTCAACTATTAAAAAATGTAAGACTGATGATTGTAAATAAAACAGACTGTTTCAAAATTATTCAGGAGTCTATTTGAAAACTATTACAAGCTTTTCCTAAAAAACTTAATGAACCCATTTTTAAAATGTACTTTTCAGATTATAAGAATATTTTGTCAATTTCATTTTGTATATACCAAAAAAAACCTTAAAATTATTTATTGATCCACTTGTGCCAGAATTCATCCATTATTTTTTATAATTTATGTATGACAATAAACCTAAAAGTTTGAATAAACAAGGAAACATCTTTAAAACCACTGCAACTTAAATGGCTTTTTGAGTATGGCCTTGCATAAAATATCTATTTTGATGTTGTTCAAAATAGAAAAGAGAGATCAATAAGTGAGAAATACTAAAGTTTCTAGTCCATCTCTGTTTTTAATTCTATCGAAATCGGTTTTAAAAAAGTGATTTTCGCTTGTTAATTCTTAAGAGACTTTTTAAAGAAAAATTTTTTAGAATATGTTATTTTAATATTTAGAATAACTGACCCCATTGTTTTATTATTTATTTAGTTTTGATGTGTCTGTTATCTGGTTTCTTGTTTTAATTTTTACTAAATTCATTGCTATTCATTTCTACAACTTGCGTATGTGAAAAACTATTCACATAAATAAGTTGTAGAAATAATGTTTGAATTTTTGCTGCATACTTCCTTAAGCTGGGGAAATTGATATATTTATTCATATTTTATGCAACGTGGGTCCTGCGACCCCTTTTTTTGCGGGTCACAAAAATAATTTTTTGTGACCTGCAAAAAAAAGTGCCGCAGGTTTAGGTTGCCCATCCCTGATCTAGGTGATGCTGCAATTGCATGTGTTAGAATGGCATCTTTACAGGAGAAAGCTCAATATGGTTGTGGTTTCACAAAACAAAATTGCCAATTACAGTTCAGTGAAACTTCAGAGTGGATCAGAATTACCAGATAAAAAGTCATTAAAGGTTGGTGTGTAAAGTTTAAAGAGATTGGCAGTATTGGACTTTAGAAGAACTGGGAGACCAATTTTGAATGAAAAGACTATGTAAAGTTTCCAGTGCAGTTTCTACAAATCTACTTCAGATCAACTTGGCATTATAGGAGGACAGTGGTTAAGGTTTTATATAATTAACATTGTATGCATACAAAGTGCAAATTCTGCAAGCCCTAGCCTAGGTGATTGCCTAGTCAAGTGGTGAACCTATGGTATGTGTGCCCAAAGTGACACATCAGGAGAAATCATCTGGCATGTAATGTATCATATGATTTAGGTTTATTGCCCTTTTTTTCTAAATTATTCTTTCGGTTTATCATCTTATCATCCTTTTTTCATTAGTTTTATTACAATTATTCTAATTAAGGCATATTTGTTTCATTTTTTTAAATATTGTTGTTCAAAATCTAAAACTTTGGTATGCATAAAATTTTTAAAGATAAGTACGCTTACTGTATGGCATGCCCATGCCCGAAGATTCACCATCAAAGGTTGTGCTGCTTTTGTGACTGATATCTTGAACCTATAAATGTAAAAACAGTGATTAGCTAAAGTTTGTTTTTAGATGAAGTTACCTGTCATATCTTTGGAAAGGTAAATAGATATAATGTATGTGCACATACATTTTTTTACAAGTCCATTATTACAGCATCAAATATGTATTTGGACTTGATGAACTTTTTGTAGTATATCAGTTGGAAGAGTTTCAACCATAGATATTGTTTCAGCAAGATGGTACACACCATACTAGAGATTACTTATCAATTCCTATGCTGCAAAGTCCAAAATTTCAGAAAAAAATTACTTTTGAACCAGTTTTTGTAAAATATCGAAAAACTTTATTAAGCTATAAATGCCAGTACTGTATTATTTTGACTTTAAAACAAAAGTTATAATTTCAACAATTACAACAACAAAATGCTTTGTATTGTATACTGACACAATGAACTTTGACAACAACAACAACAAAATGCTTATTAGTATTAATTACAATTATTCAAATTCTCAGTTAACCTGTATAGGGAAAACAACAGAAGAAAAATCATTAATCAGCAGCAGTTCAATCAGTCACTTAAAATTCCATAGTTATGCACTAACAGGAGAGAAGTCTAGCTTGCTGTATCAATGTGACAATGGTCTTTCATATACTGTTAATATGAATATTGAACATCAAATAAATATGTTCCTAACTAGTGTTTCTCCTACTATCTGGTTACAAAATATATAATACAGTATTATTTAATATTTTAATCGATTCAAACCAAAATTAATGGACTACAATATCATTATGCAAATGAGTACTAGCCAGGAAGTAATGAGATAGCAATTGAGGCTTAATGTAACTCAGTTTGCAGAACTCAAAATAACTGAAATAGAATAGAAAATAACTAAATATAACTGTAAATAAAAATCTCTTTTGCTATCTTACAATGTAACTTTCTCAATCAGTGGATTGGGAGGAATGAACTGACAGTACAGTATATTCATCTTGGCTACTAGATTCAATCCTTCAACTTTTTTGTGAGGTTATGTTTTGAAATTGCTATTGGCATGGAAACTGGTAATAAGGATAACAGAAGCTATAGTGACAGTATTTGAAGAGGTATTAGAAAAAACATGGAGAAAAATTGAATGTTGAATTTTGTAAATTTAAAAATTACATTTTTTTTTCCAGTTTACATTTATGCTGAAGATGGTCAAACTGAGGCTGCAAGCTTTGTAACTTTTTGATTAAGGTTACTAATATTTTTATTTATTGAACATTATGGTGCTAATATTTACATAGTAAAAAAATGTATTTTACAAATCAGGCATATTTCAATGAATGAAAGCATTTTTATTTTTGAAAATATTGAATTTGAAATTAGCATCATAAAATTATATATATAATTTGATATATGGTCATAGTTAATGAATTTTATGTTATATTTAAATATTTTTTATTCATAAATGATTACACTGTTTGGAAATAAGAGAAATTGTTTGTATTATTTCAGAAGACGACGCAGTCGCTACTCTTATAGTCGATCACGATCTCGTACTCCAAGGTCTCGTTCTCGTTCAAGAGATAGGCGAAGACATAGCCATTCTCCTCATAGGTTAGTAAAATATTTTTATAAAATCGAATAAATTATCATATCTTATAATAAAACTATAATATGAAAATATTGACTTAAAGTAATTTCCTGTTACAGGAATATTTTTTGATCAGTGATATAAAATTCATTATAATCAATCTGAGTGAAACTTGTAGTGGTGATTTTCCTGAAAATTTCAAATTGTGTCTCTCTAATTTTATTGGTTTTAATAGTAAAAGCACTTGATTGTTGCTTGTTTTTAGATCTTTTAAGTAAGTCACAGGCATATATAACACAAATGGGAATGTTTTCTTTCATTATTGGGAATAGGTGTAAAATCTAATGTCTTTTCTTGTATTTTTAATTATATATAATTTTATAAATCATTTGTAAAAATTTTGTCTTAAAATGTTACCTTGTGAAAATCCATTTTAAATTATAGTTTACAATTTTTTTTATTCAATTTGAGGATAGATTTTAATTTACAAATTTTGTATGTGGTGGTTAATCATTTGACTTATAGGGATTTTAGTATTAGAAAGTGAAGAATTTTTGGAAAGCCTAGAAATAACTTTAATAGTTGTTTTTCTTCATAATCTTATTTGGATCTCATTAAACAACTGTCAGTTGTGGGTTATTGTTCATGATTTTTAAAAAAGAAGAAAACACTCAGATTCCCCTTTCTTGATCTTAGTGTAACTGCTGGAAGTGCCTATTGATCTGAATGACTGCTGTTAAAAGGTTAGAAGACATCAAGCAGTTCCTGCTAGGTGTGAGTTTTCTCATAAATATTGCATGATTCAATGAGTTGTTTGCTTTAATTTACCAAGTCACTAAAAAAAACTAATACTTTTAATGTCTTTCTTTTGTTTTTACTTCATTAACATTTTTTATTAATTTTGTTTGTTCCTAAAAATTCTTTCTTCAAGTTATAAAAATCTTTTTTTTATATGTACCATACAATTGTTTAGAACATTTTCATATATAGTTTGTCAAATTAGCTATTATCGCTTCTCAACAGTGTTAAATCAATTATATTGACCTACAAAGCTCAAAACTGCTCAAATACTGTTTATATTTGAGCAGTTTAAATGTATGATTACCATCAGTTTATTGTAAATGATGATAGCTTTAAAGAGAAAAATATGTAAATTTTTTTTGAGTACCAAAAAACAAATTATATTTACTTCATAATTTTTTTATTCAGTAAATTATGTAACTCGATAAAATTTTGTAACCATAAATAAGTATAAATTATTTGTATTTTTGCTTCAACCTAAAGTCCAAATTATTACTTTCAGTGTAAATATAGATAATTTTTTAATGAAATTCTGAGTTAATAATTTAATTGAATGAAAATCACTGCAAAGAGGATGATGATCATTATCATCCTTGCAGTGATCTTTAAGTGTAAGGGTACTAATTTATATTGTATTTGGAGATTGGAGATGAATCATTTTAAAATATTGTAAAATAAAAGTTGATCGATAGAGCTTATTACAGTTAGATTAGAAAAGTTTATTATATAGACACTTTGATATTTGATAGGTTTTGCAAAAGTTTTTTATATTTGTATTAAAAGAACTCACTGTGATCGATTTTTAACAAAATTTTATTTTTTAATCAGTGATAAACAGTACATTATTTACACTGGGAATTAAAATCGTTTTACATATAATCCAGATTCCTTGGGTCATTAATTCTTTTCTTACATTTAGGTTTATATAAATCATCAATCTTCTCTTTTCAAATAGTTAATAATAGGTAAACTTTTTTCTTGGATCATTTGCTCTAGATACTATAGTATTTACTTCTGCCATGTTTTGGATATAAGACTGGACCTCAGAGAAAACTTATGATGCCAGGAACTGATTTAAGCTTGTTTAGGAAAGCAAATTAAATTGATTCACTTTTTCAAATTTAAACTGATTTGATATCTTGTTCACACTGTATTGCATAAACTGTTTTAAAGTACACAATCAGAATAGGCTATAATGGCAAAAGTGGAACTTTTGTTTTTCTGATTTAAATATTGTCCATTTATGGAATAAAACATATTAAATGATACCTGATACCTGCTAATTTTGATAATTTAATCTAGAAGCAGGTATGGCCACCAAGTCAATTTCAGATAATATGGCTCGTTATAACACAAAAAAATATTTGTAATTTTAATAGGAATATTAAATCCATATTATTCGAAAAGAAATCTTTTAACTGTTTTATGAGATGGATAGGAAGGAGTGCCCTTTGTGTTGACAGTTATTGCTATTAGATAGTTATCTCTTGTATAACACAGTAGTTATATTGCAAAAAAGTGCCATGTTATGTGAATTCGTGCTATATGAAACAAAGGACTAGTGAAAAACATAGGGTTAAGTTTCAAAAGTTAACAAAAGTACACTATTCTTTTTCTTTACTAAGAAAAATATGTTTATTAAAGCAATCAATAATTAACTAACAATCACAATTTAAAATACTATATTATGTGTTAATATTAATTTTAGTTAAACAAGGACATTTTCTTTTTACAAAGTATTATCATCATCTGAGCTTTTTTGTTGATCTTGATCTTTCTGAATCAGCAATATCTTCATTTTTTATTTTTATGTATGACAAAATAAAAATATGTTATTAATCAAAAATTTATTCTAGTAGGTTGCATTTGTTTAGTTGAATACCAAGTGATCCCCCCCCAGCATTTGTGTTTGAATACTGAAGTGCTTGAGTACCAAGATATTGCTGTATTTTGTTGGTCATTTTTAGGAATGATTACTTACCTACAGTTAAAAAAAGTTTAACAACACTTACCTAAAAATGTTTAAATAAACTTTACTAAATACAAAGACCATCTATAAAAACAAAACACAGTGACACAATGGTGCACTTAGGATTTAATCTTTGGTGAATGAAATTGAATGGAAAAAATTTTAATGTGAATTCAATAAAATAAGATTTTAGGAAAATTTACTTGTTTTTTTTTTTACTCTTGATGCTAGGACCCATTGGTCCTCTGTGTACATCACTGCAATGATGTACACAGAGTCTTCAAGACTAAAGTCTGAAAGCAACAAACGACGACACCTGGTTGATAGTGCAATTTTTTTCTTCTCTATTCTAGCTATCCTACAGTTTTTATTAAAGTAAACCTGATGAAAGGCAGAGAACAAATTGAAATTTTAATGTTCTAAAATTCGTGGAAAAATTAGAGACAACATAGATTCTTACTTGAATAAAAAAAAAATATTGAATAACAGAGTTTGCATTTAAAAACTGTGATATTTTGTAGGGGTTTCCCAAATTCTCTAGCAGTGTTAGAGCAAAACTGTGTTGTATGAGGGATACCTGTATGTTGTTATTGTAGAAATTGTTTTATTAAACCATAAACAATTCAGTTCAGTGCAAAATGAGTGTACCAAGAAAAATAAAAAAATTTGTGACCTACTATATATTTTGCAGAATGATTTCATTAGGATAGATTATTAAACTTTCAAGAAACAAAAATGTGGAGTAGGTCATTGGTGCTTTTCACTTGTGAAAGTTGATCACTCCCCATTCTAAGTTAGTCAGGCCTGATTTAGAGTATGTTAGCATTCAGATTCTTTATCTCAAATATGTATACAAGCTAGGGTTTCTCATTTCCCGGTATTTTGCTTGTCCCGGGATCCCGGGATAAAAGTGAACTGTTTCCTGGGATCCCGGGATAGAATTAATTATTTTTAAGGTATACAAAATATCTTGAAATCAAATGATATAATTATTTTCCATTTTTTAAAGTAATTTTAAAGTTTTGTAACCTCCAAAATCATATTAATAATGCTGTGTTAGGTCTATAGGCCTATAATAAAAATTACCTTTAAATAACGTAGAAATTTTCACAAATAGAAAAAAATTAATTAAAGTTTGCTGGAAACTGCATACAACAACAACAAAAAAAATGTTTTGAATTGAGTTAAAAATTAAAAAAATGAACTTCTAATTTAGAAGGTAATTTTCGTTTTTTAAATAAAATATAATACAAAATATTGCAAACTTTTATAAGATTTTAAAAAGCAAAGATGGTCAATACTCCGATAACTCACTCTAATTCTTATTTTAGTAATGAAAAGTCTTGCCACCGAGAATGCCCTTTCCGATTCAATTGATGTGATTGGAATAGTGTTTAATGCATTTAAGAGAAGACAGATATTATGTGTTTTTTCACCTGTAGCCTGGAAGCTTTCGAGTTCGTTTTCGAGATTGTAGTACTTCTTTCGCTCTCTAGTATTCTTGATTTGTCTACCTTGGCTGCTTTAATAGCGGCATCAAGCTTAGAGCTCGATAATTCGGCAATTCATTTGGCTTTAATAATCAGGTTTATGAAGAAAAACTTCATACTTGCAGACTTTGTACTCGTTTGTATCCTTGCCCAATTTGCACAATCTGGCGTCAGGCATTTATTGAAGCTACTGGGCATGGTTAAAACTCAAGACAGCGTAAGCACAATTATTCCAGATATTACAGGTTCCGACAAGTAAAGAATTTTTATAGTCATGCCACAAATAAGCTATATATTGATTATTGACCATTTGTGACATGCTATAACGAGCAAAAATTTAAAAAAACTAATAGGTAGGTTTAAAATTAATAAATACAAATGTATTCTGGCAGTGAACGAGTTAATTATGCTTTCTATTTGCAAAACTCCTCAACCTTAACACAAAATAAGAAAAAAAGTGAATTTTTAAGAAATTTGCGGGATTTCCCGGGTTAAAAAAACAACCGGGATCCCGGAATCCCGTTTCAGAAACCCTAATACAAGCCAGTTATTTGCAATACAGTAGAGTCCTGCTAGTCCGAACATCGCATGTTTCGGTCGGCGGAGAAGAAATTTTCTCTAACAAGAGGTTCACTTAAGGGTGTTCTCCTTTCTTGAGTGAAACACATGAGTAAGGCTTCATCAAGCTTGTCAAACATTGAGGGCCTTGTGCATGTTGATTTTCAACTGATTTTTCTGAAGTAGAAGCACAAAACTGCTCGAT